ACTGTTTACTTTCGAATTAATGTGGCGAAGCAAAATGCTTTTAAAAAAGAGCCATTTTGTCTTGAAAAATGTTTCACCATCATAAGCTTGATAGTGCTCTGACTTTTCGTGTGAAAATCAAGATCGTTCTTTTCATTTGGATGATTTTTATCACGTTGCTTTTGAATTAATCGCTAAAATTTATTACCCCACATTGCCTGGGAAAAATCGTTGTTTTCTTTGCGAATCTTTTAGGAACGAATTGACATACACCAAGCTAAAATAAAAACAAAAATGTCTGTCATACTGGTTTCTTCCAAAGCCGATATAAATACCTAGCACTTTTATATGGATTCAAACGGCCTTGTCCATTGTCTGCGGTTCACGTAGCTGCCACGAATCGCAGAGTAGCGTGCTCTCGACCTGCGCCGGCCACTGCGCCGTCGTGTCCTACCTGATTTTAATACGGAGCGGACCACCGAAAAACTTTCATGTTAAGCTCCGTTAAGCTACAAGAAAGACACAGGGACACTGACGAGCGTACACCCGATAATACTGTGATAAAAGAAAATAAAAAAAAAAAACATTTCGCTCCGTTTACATGCCTTTGCCGATATTAAATATAATATATTGTTTATTTATTTATAATAAAACCTACAGACCATGAGTGGTTCAAGCAGGGATCAAGGAAAACAGCAGCAATGATCTTACAAAACAGAAAATAAACAAAAAACTAACTAACACTGGTAGAGGAAAATTGAAGAAATCGGAATCACAGAATATATATAAAAACGCACGTTTACTGAATAGCCTAAATAACTGACAAGGTCTTAATGAGATAATAAAATCGTAAAGGCAGTTCACAGCTCGAATAATAGTAAAGAAACAAGAACATTTAATTGCATTCTAATTATATTCTATCCACTTCCGTCAAATAACGAACTCAATCGTGTTCTTCATAAAAGATTAAATTTTATCTAGGAGCGTATGCAAACGGTCCTTGCTTACCATATCGTCAGAAGTCGTTAACACAGCAGCTCTCTCCTTTCAAGCGAAAAACGATAGAACATTCAACTCGTCGAAATATCCATGACAGCCATGTCATGGAGTCAAAACATCCATCGGGTCAGAACATCCATCCGAGACTAAACATCGATGGGGTAAACACATCCCTCGAGTCAGAACATCCATCTGAGTCTAAACATCCATGGAGTCAAAACATCCATCGAGTCAGAACATCCATCCGAGTCAAAACGTCCATCGAGTCGGAACATCCATCGAGACAAAACATCCACGAATGGATGTTTTATCTCGATGGATGTTTTGACGCGTTGGATGTTCTGACTCGGAATCGTCTCGAAACCCAGACTGAACTGTGTGGAAGCGTGCTCTTGCTTATCCATGGTTCTCTATGAGGCACGTGGTGATTCCATCTGTCCACAATGCGGGTGGAGACAATGCATTCACTGAGACTATGGTGGGAAGTACTTTCCCGCCGGACCAATCAGCCACCTCCCTCTTATCACCTGAGCCGGCTCTCCGCGCGTGGGTATGGCCGGGAGCTTGATGACGTTGCGAAAGAGAGGCGTATGACTGGTTCAAAAAAGACGTATTTCCGAAAACTGTAAAGCCTGGGCTTCACTCATAGGGCAGAGGTTAAGTTCAATATCGCCAAAAAGCGACAACACTCACTGCAATATATCAGAGCACACCGTAAGCAACTCACAAAAATACACTAGGGCATGGAAACAGCAAAAGACAAACGTTGCTAGTAGGGCTGGGCACTTAATCGATTAATGCTTTAATCGCGATTAATACTTCCAACCAGTTAATGTTTGACTAACAAAAAAAAAAGGAAAAATTTCACGGTTTCACCACGCAAACGTCGACGAGTACCCCTGTATGAACGTAAACTTTAGGTGAAGTTTTAACCGAAAGTGAACTGTTAGGGGCGAGACTTTTAACTCCGAACAAGTGGAGGTTATACGTGTCCCGACCACTTCAGCGCCATGCGATTGTCCGGTCAGCGCAGCGGAGACTGTTGTGAACGATCAAGGGAGTTCGCTAGTGCCGGAGAAGATCAACGAACCTCGTTGCTTCTGCGGCTGAAGTAAGAATTTCCGAGTCTGGGTGTCCCTTGACCATTTCTAACTACACTTGAGGGTTGACTAAAATTAGAAATTGCACATTGAGCCGTTTATTTATTATTCAACAAAGGCAAAAATATTTAATTTAGATTTTTTTTTAAATTTTAAAACGTGGGAATGACGGAACCAATTAATCATTCAATTAAAGAGTGACGATTAATTTAATTAAATTTTTAATCGACGCCCGACCCTAATTGCTACTTTTTTTGCGTATAATGATGGATTAGAACCAACATGCACAAAGAAGCGGAGGGGGTTAGATGACTGCATCCTAAGGCGGTTTCCACGCCCACTGGACGAATAGGGGGCGCTCCACGCTTTTGTAGTGACACAGTCAGTCACTGACGATGTTGATGATGTAACCACCTCAAACCAGGCGAGGATTAGCCGCGACCAATCTTCAGGAACGCTGAACGGCGCGTCGTCGAAATTCCCCGGCTGCCCAAGTACCTCTGGGAAGGCCGTTGATGCTGCGACGATGGCTTCCGTGGATGGCGAAGAAAGAAAGGTAAGGGACGCCATAACGAATTTAATTTACCAGCAGCACGCGGATAGATTGTGTACAAAATCGTAATCCGTACAACAGAGTATACAATAAACTTGATATATATATATATTTTTTTTTTGCATTTTACAGTTTATTTTATACATAAGATAATAATGTAACCATTTTTAAGAACAGTCGCAGACGAAATGAACTTATGCACGCGCATGTGTGGAGTCTCGTCAATTCCCAACCAGTCAACAGCCTAGCATCAGAACCTAACGGGTTAAAGGCCGACGACCAGACTCGAGATTCTGCAAGGCAGAAGATCCTCCTCATCATGGGGGAAGAGAAAACAGGCGACGGTGGAGGGGGAGAGGAGGAAGCGAGGGAAAAGTGGAAAGCGCCAACTGGTTGGCCTTTAACGTTCGCCGCCGCCATGGCAAAGAAGAGCTGTCGGTGGCTTTGGTGCCCGAGTGCCTGCCTCGGGACTCATCTGGAGGACATTAGCAATGGCGGCGGTAGACATCTGCGGACTTCCCTCCCGGAGAGCGTCGCGACGCCCGAGAGCCTGCACCTACCGTGGCAGAGCCGGGCAGCGAGCGCCAGCGGCAGACCGCCCTCGTTGGGGAGAGAGAAGACGGTAAACTCTTGTTGAAAAATGACATACGAAGTCCTTCGAAACACTTCCATAGCTTTCCCTTCTGTAATATTCGCACTCCTGTTGCGCGGGAACCGGGTGGCGACAGACGTTCGCGGTGGTGACGACCGCAACGCCGAATCGGACGACGGGGGAGAACGGAGAGGGCCGTGGGAAACGCGTTGTAGTTCCCACACATATTGGAAATCTCGGCGCAAATAACTAGATCAACCCGATTCTATCAAGCTTCTTGCACGTCGCTCCCGTCAACATCATTTTGCGATACTTTGCGTAATTATCACGAGCCTTCGATTATCGGAAGATTCAATTATCACACTAAGCGTTGCTTTTCTTTTTTGTATTGTGTATATCGAGGGCGACATCTACAGTAAAAAAGGTACTCGTTCAGTAGAAGAAATACCCTTCACTTTTATTCATCGAGTGGTAACACAAAAATCAAGATGTATACAAGGTTGAATTAAGCGGGGTTATTTTAAAAGCTTAAATAACAACACCTAAATAAAGACGGCTTACAACCGACTATAGAAACCGCCCTCGGGAACTTAGCAGTACTCAACTTGATGAAAAACGTCTTAGCAACCAACAAAATATTAGATATGTCTGTTAGTTTTGGGGTAGTGTGGCCAATAGGCAGCCAAGTGGGTTTTACAGAAACTGAAGGTATGCTATTCATTACAAGGCGCAAGTCACAAGCACCAGAGCCTTCTGGTAATTACTGAAGTGGTCTTGAAATATATTATAACAATTGTGAATTACAAAATTTCCTGAAATGGCAATTTTGAAATATAAAATGTCAAAAATTATCCCACGACAAAACAATATATAGCACTATTTCTGAGAACAAATAAGACAGAGAAATATTTGTTTGCGTGGTTTCTTTTTACTTCAGAAACATTCAGGTTCGTGTATACCAGCAAGTTAGTTATGTTCAGTGAAATTGTTCCAGTGAATTGAAAACCTAATCCCAAGTGAAAAATATTTGTACAAGAAATTTCTCGGTCCAATAAGCGCATATGATCAAATAATATCATATAAGAACATAAGAACCGTATAAGAACATACAAGACCAATACAATATTATATAGGTTAGAAGAACATAGTCATCGAGCATATAGGAACATATATGTTCCTATATGATCTTATTTGATCATATGCGCTTACTGGACCAAGACGATTCTTATACAAATATGATTTTTTACAAGGGATTTCACTAATTATATCAATATGTAGGATTAGCTCATTAGCAACCCAATAAGAATTATAACAGTTACTTCACAAAATGTACACAATTCACTATTAAAACTTGCTTACTTTAGAAGGGTTTTAGAAACTAACAAAAAATCCCTTCCAAGACACGTACTAATTACTTGAGATAGCATCCTGTTATCAATCAGCTTAAAGTCTAGTGGTAGATACACCACAAATAAAGCACTGTTTCGGCTTAAACTGCTAGTTTTACTACCTGAAATATATAACGGAAAAAGGACAAAAACACCTATGGCTACCTAGAGCCCAAATATTAAAAAGCAAAACATTAACAATCCTTGCAACAGTAAGAGGAGTAGAAATTTAGTCGATTCTTTAATAACTTCATTATTTCTAAATTACCGTAAAACCTTCATAATAATGACTTCTCAATATTTTCTAGCGCACAAAAGTAACAAAACTAAAACATCAGAAAAGCTTATTTACAGATTTAAAAAAAAATGTTTTTTGTCCAAACGTATTTTCAGGGAGAAAAGTAGGTCACTGAGTGTCCAGCCATGCCAGCACTGCTGTCCAGCTCCGCGTCGTTATTGTCTGACGTAGCTGCCTGTGTGCCGACTTGCGTTCCCATCTCTTGTCTCATCTGCTGTCGTTCTTGCTGCTGCAGATGATGAAGAAGCTGCAGCTGCTGAAGGTACTGAAGGTGCAGATGAGGCTGGCACTGATCTACGGCAGGCCTAGCAAGATTGCTCCTTGCTAGTGCCACCCAGCGAAGATAGTTGCTGGGCACAGTGTCGAAGTTGACCCTTTGCGTGGGCAGAGCTGCTGAACCGCGCTTTGACCAGTCGACGTCCTGCGGCTGGGACGGGAACGGCGCCACCGGTTGTCTAGTTTCGTTTTGAGCAGCAACGCTGTAGCTAGGGACACATGGTTCCATGATCGGTCTGGCTGCCGTGTTCTGAAGCCTTTGGAACAGGGCGTTCAGCTCGAGCTGACCACTGGTCGACATGCAGCTGGGTCTCGGTGCTCCTCGAGGCTGCAATAGATGGAGCGAAATAGGTGGCTGGATACGCTGCTGAGGAGTCTGCTGAGGAGTCTGCTGCATCGTCGGCTGAACGGGTGGCATCGACTTCCAGGAGCCGCCAGAGAACACGTCTTGCGGTGGTTTACCAAAGGCTGGGAGCTGAGCCTCTGAGACGCGGATCGGAATGGCGTCAGAAGAGCCGGTTCTCACAACTCTTGTCGACGGGCTCTGGATGCGGTAGTCCGTGTGGGCGGAACGGCGATGTTTCTCGTATTGCTGGGAGACAGGCGTACCAGCTGAGACTCTGGAGAACTGGTCGAGTAGGTTTCTAGAGGGTGGACTGGGGTAGCACTCGGGGGAAAACTTCCCCCTGCGTAAGAAAATGTTTTGATTGTCGTTGATTGAAAGCCATCATTTACGTAGATGGTTGAGCGTGTTGGTTTCTAATTTACGATAAGGAAAGAGGGACATTGAAGACAAACAGACAAGACAGGCTTTCGAAAGCCTGTCTTGTCTGTTTGTCTTCAATGTCCCACTTTCCTTATCGTAAACCATCATTCACAATCATGATTCCACCGGAATACCAACAAAATTCACTGATGGTTGTTTTCAGATAAGATCGGCCGATCATGTCTGGTGACAATTTTTTTAATATTGACGAAAAAAACATTTCGTTGACTCAATTCCCCCCCAAATATTCACAAACTTTAGTTTTGCGAAAAAGTCTGTTTTTGCGGAAAAAGAAAAAACCCGGGGTGTTTTGCCGCGCAGCCGGTGGTCTCTGGTGCTGTCAGATGTACCCGGTCATAGCCTCCTCCATACTCTGGTAGTTCGACAACTGGGCCATAGAGTGCCCGGTCGCAGATTTGGAGCGCGAGGATGCGGTAGCACGGAGCATTTCTCGGGGAACCTGGACGTCAGCGCACAACTTTTGCAGCGGCGAGGACCCGAAACATTGTTTTCAAACCCGACGAGAAAAGAAGCGGTAGCGTAAGGAACGCAGGGAGCACGAGCGGACATTCCACCGCTCCGGAGAAGTGTTTCGGCGCCTCGCCGCACCGGGGCACCCATCATGTGGCTCTTTTCTCGTCCGTTGTCTGCCGCTTTACCTTTTCAGTTTCAACGGCCGCTTCTCGTGGCGATCTGCCAGGCTTCGTCAGTATAGAGGAAGCTATGCCCCGGCGCACAGATTCCTCGGGTCGGGCGTCCGACTTCCAACCAATTCCTTTACGTGGCGTACACAGAAACGCTAGTAGCACATTACACGCCCCCTATTGAAAACAGGTCATGCGAAGCATGCGATATGATAGCGCATCTCAATTGCTCCTGCCCATGCACATTTTTTTCTGCGAATCTAGTACGAAAACGTACCTAGAATTCTCACTTTTAAAATCATCGCCCGCCTCCGTGCTGCCAATTTGTTTCCTTCCGACCATCCCCGTGAATTTTTAGGTGTTATTTCAATTCGGCTAGAGTGTTCATTCGGCCGACGGCTCCATTCGACTAGAATCCCCACTTTGGCTGGACGCTTCAATTCGGCTAAATCCCCAGTTCGGCTAGAATTACCCATTCGGCTGGACGCTTCGATTTGGCTAAGTCCCAGACTCGGCTACATTCTCCATTTTGGCTGGACGCTTCAAGTTGGCTATATCCCCGATTCGGCTGGACGCTCCAATCAGGTTGAATTCTCAGTTCACTTAGATCCTCCAATTCGATCGGATGGTTGTTTAGCTCAAGCATCCCAAATTGGCTAGGAGGTTATACTTATAGGTTTGATTGGCTAAGGTATCTCCAATTTCTTTGAGTGGCTGAACCGTTCCCGCATCATGCTTCTCATTGCGCACTGTAAAAGTAATGAACTTTTCAACGATAGGTATGTACACGCCCCATTCACGGTGACTGCGGCAGCCTCAATTTGCCCTGATTTCTCGCTTCATAACTCTAAAGACAAAAAAACATGTTTTTTGCAGATTCTGTTAGTACCGATGATTGAGCTTAACCTAAAAGCATTTTAAAAAAAGCTGTTTTTTTTATTGGTTTTCAAAATGATTCGTATTTAGAAAAAATTCCCCCTTTGAGTGTCAGCACGAAGATTAACAAAATTCAGGGCAAAACGCTGGCAAACTTTGAACACATTGGAATTTATAGGTGCGAAGAAAAAAACATCGAATTTAAGCATTAATTTGTAGCCGCCGTGTGTTTGCGATTCTTACGACGTCGATACATCGTGGTAAATACTTTGTCAAAACTTCCTATGCGCAATTTGTCAGTTGATATTTCTATACCCATAGCCACAGTCATTGCTTTGGTGGAGCTGCACGAAACACCAACTTTGCACAATGCGCAGAAAGTGCTTTGGACGGTGAGTACGCTTCCATATTTTCCCCCACAAAGATAACCTTTTTTTCTTTCTTTTTCTCCTGAAAACATAATTCGGTTTTGTTTTGCGAGGCACTGAGTCACCAAAATATTTTTTTTTCGTCAAGATTAAAAATGGTCCCCGGACATGGTCGGCCCAACTTTTCTAAAATGCCCTAAATCCAGGGTCACACCGTTTATACATCATACAAAAGACAGTCTTCATGGAGATTTAAACGGGAGTCACCGCGAGATCCGTGCTTCGAATGCACGCGGCAATGAGTTCAAGGAGAAAACGTGGCACGCGGCATTCGAACCCCGGATATTGAGGCGACTCGAGTCACCTCAATATTCCTGGTTCACACAAAAGACAGTCTGCAAACACGATCGTGTTGGCGGACTATCAAACAATGATTTAATGGTTTTTTTTCGCCGCTTTTTTTTTTTTGTCTATATGTAACGTTAAAGGGACGAACCAAATGTTTCGAAACCGTTCATTCCTCAAAAACGCGGTTTTCTAAAAATGTCAATGGAAAAATCGGGTCCGTTTTCGGTAAATGGCTCCATTCAGCTTCATCCATTGGAGAGATCCGTCGACCTCCATTTTCAAATTAAATATTCTATAAAATCACTTATAACGTTTGAATAAAATAACGGTTAGCCCTGAAACTTTGGCATCTAGCTCGAACCACTAGGACTACATTTGGGCGGGTAATGCATAGTTTATTTTTGCGGCGAAAAACAAAAACCCAAAAACAACTTGTATTTTTTTGGAAGGAAACTGTCATTAGGGCTTACCTAGTCATCTCAGATTTGCGCACAAGGAGGAACTCCCTTGCCAACGGATCTTTGTTGTATCGAACCTGAAAATTCGGACATTGGCATGCATACCACGTATAGATCCTCCCCCAACTTTTTTTCTTAGAGTAATACACCGTCATTTATTCTGTTCTTGAGAGCAGCGATCTATAACCAAGCGACCAAGCACCCTGTATGAACTCTTTCCTTCTCTCTAATTCGAGAAAATCTTCCACGCATCAGGGAACAAGACATTCGAGTACAGATTTAACTACGACCTAGAAAGGAATTGTGACTTTTCCATAATGACCCCTAAGGCTTTTTGACGCGATTACTTCTGTCGCGAGATACTGCTCATGCCATATGGCAGTGGTTCTCAACCATCAATGTTTCGCAGACCCCTAGTGGATCGGCGAAGATGATGGCCCTACTGAAAAAAAATTATATAAAAACTGATATGAAATATTCGAAAACGGATATGCGACATATAAAACTGATATGAATTATCCAAAAACCGATATGTGGCATATGAAACTGATCATGTGAAATACTCCAAAACTGATATCCGGCATATGAGAACTGATATGCAACATATGCCAACTGATATGCAGCATACAAGCTCATGTGATTAAAAGGTTAACTTATATGACTTTGATATCAGAATTTGCAATGTGTCCAATAAACATATCAGAAATACATTCACTTTTTTTTCAGTATACGACGTGCCGCGCGGGAAAGCACACACGGGGCATCAAACCGCAGTGGAGCGGCTTGATTTATTGGTTTTAAAATAATTACGGCATGAGCGCTTACTTTTTACTAAGAGATTCATCCCTGAGCCGTTCAAAATACTTTCAGAGGTATGACATTACTGAAAATAAATCAACATGTTGGGAATATTATTTATTGCTTAGGTGGTCACCGAGAAAATCCGTACCTTCAAAATTACCAGTTTAAAAGGCGCAAACGCAAAGTTAAGAAGTAGTTATCGGAAGTGCTGTTGTGTTCATGTTTGTTGTGATTTTTGTAGCACATGAATTGGGGGTACCTAGCGCCACCTAGACTAGCTGAAACTGATAAGAAATGACAAGTTCTGATATGAAAAAGGTAATCATGTCGTATTACACCTGAGACTGCGGTGGAAGAAATCGGAAGAACTTTCAGTAGAAGGAACAGACACAGAGAACATCTCAAAGAACAGTGTTAAGGAGTATCCAAAGGAACAATCAGGCGACAGCATGTGGAAGACTACCAGACCTCAACAATCAGTCCAATCTGACTATACCGCACGTGGTGAATCCATGCGAGGTGTCCATTTCTAGAAAGACGGAACAAACACTGGGGAATGGCCCAAAGTTCTGCATGAACGTGAAACCTTCAAGGGTAGATGTGTTTTCCGCAATTCAGACTATTTCGAAAGTGACGGGTCATGATGAAAGAGCCACGTTCGTGGATTGTGCTGTTGATAGAATGGACAAACTGATGAATGATAGCTTTCGAACTGAAAAGAGAGATTTTCGTGTCATAAACGCTGCCGTGAAGGAACTAGAAAGGGGATCGCTGCGTCTGCTGCAGACTGACAAAAGTGGTATGTTCGGTGTACTTCCCGAGACAGTGTTCGGAAGAAAGGCAGACGAAGCCCTCAGCGCACTCTTCATTGAATGGAAAGGGAACATTAAGAAAATTAAGAAGAATATTGTTGAAATCTTCAAGGAAGATGAGATGGATAATTTGGCAAAACAAGTAGTTAACCAAACAAGGTCTTCGTTAAGTCTCAACTTTTTTTTGAAAGATCACAAACCGGATATGCCTTTTCGCACAGTAATCAACGAACTCGGAATGTGGCAGTGTAGCGTCTCGAAATTTTTGCAAAGAGGGTTGAATGTAATTCAACTGGAGGGGAGTCTTTCACTGAGAAATTCAGAGGCACTGTAATGTCATTACAGTGCATTGTCATGGAAGACAATGCACTGTAATGTCAATGGACATTAAGGATCTATACTATTCGCTTGAGAAAGTGCGCTTGATGCAAAGAGTTCGGCAAGTGCTAGAGTTAAACCTGGTAAACTTTCAGTCCAGGACGGGCATCGCCGTCGACAGTTTCCTTTTTTTTGAGACGTTCTCTGTGTCTGTTCCTTCTACTGAAAGTTCTTCCGATTTCTTCCACCGCAGTCTCAGGTGTAATACGACATGATTAGCTACCACCAGCTCGCCTGCACTCTCACCGTCTTTTCATGAAAAAGGTGTCCAATAAACATATCAGAAATAAATTCATACAATTTTTTTTAATTTTTTTTCAGCAGACCCCGCTCGTAGTGAGAGAAGTGAGAGAGAAGATAGGTTAAATACAGTTATAATTTAATAAATGGATATAACTAAGGGCAAGTGTGAAGTAGACCTCTCTTATTGACATACACACAAAAAAAAAACTCGCCTGAAAACAAACATTTCTTCCCGATCTGAAAAAAAAATGTTATTACCGGATTCGATTGATGAGGCAGCGCTTCACGGACCCCTAGAATGCCTTCCCGGACCCCAGTATCTTTTAAATAAAAAAAATAGTGTGATTTAATTCAATGCACGAAAACTTACACTGCATAATAAGTTGTAGATGGTTAATCGGCGAACCAAAGGTTCACAGATCACGAGTTGGCTAACAAAGACGGACGCGGCATTACGCACCTCACTCGTGAGGGAGACCACCAAGAACTCGCTTCCCTTTAGAGTGAAGCGAATGGCCGACGTGCCCGAGAGTAAATGATCGTCCCTCTGTTCGAGGATGCGCAGCGTCGGCTCGTATTCGCAGTTCATCTTCAGCGTCATCTGGAGCAGAAGCAGTCAATACGACGAAGTCACTACAGATGCTTCACCTCCGGAGCTTCAGGCTCCATCCTAAGAGTTTGGTGCAGCGTTGTGGGATAATACGGATGCGAGTGTGTGTATCATTCCAAGGCAATCCAAAGTAAAATCTAATACGACAAGTCAAATAAATATCTCATCTCATATGGCTTCACTGTTCGAGCCGAACGCACGCTTCTTGAGATTGCCACAGTTGAAACATTCAATTAGGCCACCCATGATGTGCACGAAACAAGGACTGCCTGTAGAAACAATAGTGTAATCGTCAGTGTGGCACCTGTGCAGTCAGCAAGGAATGAAACCCGAACGCCGGAACGCGTGGCCGTCGACAAAGGCTGCTCCATCTGGAGGACCCCTAAAAACTAATGAAAATGCGCCGGGGTGCGAGGGTGCGGGTCCTACTAGGATGTGCTCAACCCTCGCGCGGCGCGTCTGACTTCCGCTTTTCGCCGGTGGCGCGCTGTAAGCGCCGTCACTCGGGGTGCTTTTGCGTCGCCGCACTGTCGCCTGGTCGAGTCGACACCTGCGGCTCGCGCTCAGCGCGAGAAGGTCGATGCTAGAAGCAGCAGCAAGCTGCTGGCGCGCGCGCCAGCGGATCACGCCCATGGTGTCTGACACCATGGCGCCCATGGTGTCAGACACGCCGCGTGAGGGTCGAGCCTAGGGTGCCTACACGTTTCCGCTGCTCATTTAGGCACCCTAGTCGAGCCCATCTTCCGCACCCTCGCACCCTGGCGCATTTTCATTAGTTCTCAAGGGCCCTCCAGGTGGAGCAGCCTGTGTTGATGGCCACGCGTTTCGGCGTTCGGGTTTCATTCCGTGCTGACTGTGCATGACGGCTCCTGCTTGCAGGCTTTGTATGCCAGCAAAGTGACAAAGGCGAGCGGAGCAAGGTGAAGAGGGAGGAACAAGGAACGCGGTCACAAAACGAGACCGCCGGGCCCAGCAGCCACAGGATGCCCTTCGCTATTAAACAGCTGCCGACCGGAAGTCCAAGTGCGGTGTGCAATATGTGACAGACTGATTTTGCGCGGATGTGATCAAAGGAGTTCTACATGCTATGAATTTAAAGTTTGCGGAAAGCGCCCAAGAGACGGCCCTTTTTATATTGCTCTGAAGATTTTAAATTCACAAATTAACTCACGTCACTTTCTTGAAGGCCCCCGTTCGCGATGGAGGTGAGGTTGAAGTGGAGAACTTGGTTCATCCACTGCCGTCCTTCGAGGTGATTTGGTCGGGGCATATAGTACGGCTCTGAAGGGGCGGAAATTTTCGGCAATTCAAATAATGTATAAACGTTAAGACATTTGACAGTCTTTTTTACCGCCAAACTTACCGGTGAACTCCAGAAATCGCAGGTCCACGTCGCAGGTGATTTGACAGAAGTCAAGCGCGAGCAGGTATCTCCTGTCCTGCCGAAGTCCGCTGACGCCGATGTGAAGACACGGGAATCTGCAACACAGACATTAATCTTAAAATGATACCTCACATCAGTAAATTTAAAGTATTCCGGATTTCCAGACCTCTCTCACAAATTTCGTTACGTATAGACATTTGCAATGAATTGAAGGAAAACACTTAGGCATGTATCATGAAAAAATTGTAACTATGAACTATTTTAAAACCGATATAGGTAAAACGAATATTATGAGGTGGAGCTCATAGTACTAATCACTCACCGCCCTCCCGTAGTGACAAGGATACCACTGCTTTCATCCTGCAGAGCGTCTCTCATATTGAAACCCCTGCGGTCGCCGCAGCAGCATCTTTGTGGTGATCCACACAGCTTGGCCGCGTCAGTATCAACGCCTTGAGTACCATCATCCGAGGCTTCGTCATCAAGGACGACGACACTTTCTGGAGAATTGTCTTTCTGTCCAGGACCCACCGCTTCTGATTCAGACCCTAAGCTCAGTCGCCGAAATGCTTCTATGTCATCGTCTTGTAGAAGTTCTTCTAGAAACGTATGGCACTGGAGCTTGGAATGGCCAATGTCCCCTTCTGCCATGACTGCCTTGATTATTCAACTCGCGAAAAGGCGTTCGTACCGTTGACGAAGGTTATTTGCAGTCTCGTACTAATGCAATGGTTTTAACTGTCTCCGAGATCGAGGGTAAAAACATTTTCAAAGCGTGTACGGTTGAAACGTACAGCCGGATTACCGAACACAAGATGTCTTTCTACAAAGTGTTCGACTCTTCGATTCTTCGATACGAGACCAAACAACAAGTGTGCCCGTATTTACCCGAATACCGCTGTCTGGAGACAATCATTCAGTTGGCCGTTTTCAAACAAAAGAGCTAATAAGAATTGCTCGAAAGCAGATACCATATGGGAGGTTTGAAGATTCTTCGAATCTTTCTTCCGCTGGACATGCTAAAAATGGGTAATGCCAAGACCTGAACGATGGTGCAAAGCCTGCTTGGCTGGACGTGGTAGTAACTCGCTTCGACGAAGCTCGTAGAACGAGTTGGAAGCCCCCCTCAGCCCTGACTACCGTAAAAGTAGGGCTTGCTGAGCCCGTCCCACGTCAGAATCACGCGTTTTCCTAGACACTCCCCTTTCACGGAGCTTGGTCGCGCTCCCCCCGCGGTGTCGACAGTCCGATTGCATCGACGCTTCGTCAGGCTGAAGTTTTGCCATGTCATGGAGGTGTTGCAGTTTGTCGTCTCAGATCAAGCGGGCAACTGAATTCTACACGCAGACGTGTGTTTCCGGAATCGGGAAGAGTAAAAGATAGGCCTCTGTGCCTATGGTCGCGTACGTATGAATGATTTATGAATACCGGGTTCATCTTCGTGATCATGTTATAAAAGGCGGTATATACGGGGAGTGCATCACTAGATACAAATTATAGATTCTACAACACATTTTTTTTTTTGTAATGTGGCGTAAAAGTAACAGGTACTACGTGCATATGCTCATGGTCCGCAAACCGCACTTAAAAATGTCTCCGGACCGTGAGTAATTAAAAAGAACTTGTTCTCGTTGTTTAGGTAATCAGTATGGGTGTCTTAATGGCAGGGGCACAAACGAGGATTTTAATGTCACTCGATTTAATTTAACATTTCGGTTATTATATAGATTACGCAACTATGCGGCATCGAACATGCATACATTGCTGCTATTTTTTTTTATCTGAAAAAAGAAATGATATTGTTATTGAATGCCGCTTATTTTAGTTGTGCACTTCCTTGAGCGACTCTATTTTTTATCGCCAGTGTAAGAGTAATTGGTCAAATAACAAGCATAACGTAAAAAAGACAGTATGAACACCATTCACTATATCATCTTCGTTAATTTCATTTCGATTCAAAAGCGACAAATCAAATCATGTTGTATGGTAACTTTTAGCCGCCATACAGTAGTTGATTTAAATAAACTTGAGAAGTTCATGTTCGCGCCGTTGCAATCGTCGGCTGACTACCGTGAACTCTGAGAGCTATGGCGAAGACCACCGAAAATTAATGAGGCATTGAAAGCTTTTACACAGATAGCTGCTATGGGCCCTTCTCACCACTGTAATGACGTCCGTTGTTGATGTAGTAGTTGATGGCATTGTAGTTGGCGATGCAGGGCGTCCGTCGTCGATGTTGTCAAATCCTTAAAAAAGATCGCGCGCCTCCCGCGGGAATTGAGCCTGGGCCCGCTGCGTGCGAAGCGCAGAAGTTACCGCAACGTCGCAGCTTTCTTTTTTTTTAAAGAAAACATATAATTTATTTACAATGTATAGGCAGTGCGACACTCATACACTCGGTGAAGGTACTGTGCATAGACACGAGAGCACCGAAAACGATGTAGCTGTTCTTATTCCGGTTATGACCCTCCGTGTCGCGGACCCAGAGCACCGTGTCCAAACTGCACGACAGTCCCACGGGAACCACAGCACGGAAGCTATCCTTTCAACTGCCCCTGTCGCCGCGCGGCCGGACGCACTGGTCGCGGAGTCGCCATGCCTCCAGTTTCTTCTCCGTTAGCTGCCAACAACGGCCAGCAGCAGTTTCGTCCCCAGCACTGCAGCGATCGAGCTCAACCACCGTAGACAAGGAATGTCGTCGCCAAGTGGATATTCTCCGCATCGGGGCACGGGACAAGATCGTGTGATGGAGTGGGCGGCGTGCTCAAGCACCAGGCATCCATGTATACGACTTGACAATTACAGAATTGTATTCCATAACGAACGCGCAAAGCTTCCTTGAGGCACTCAGACCGAAAGTCGAAGGGATCATTCTACTCTCAGTTGCCAAAAAGAAGCTTACGAGTTTCCAGGAGCTCAAGAAAGAAAGAGTGGGAGAAGGTAGACCTACCAAGGGGCATCCGATGCTCACACGTGTGGAGGAAGACACTGGAGGAAGGCGCCTTGAACGTTGCCCGAGAAAACGTTTGCGAAAGCACAGAGTAGCTGCGTACACGTGTCAAGGCATGCACGTACCGCTTTGTGTCCCGAAATTTAGAAAATCATCAGTCATTGCGTACCGGCATGTCCAAAACTGCAACTGTGGATTGCGTGGCTCCTACACAGTGTGAAAGCTGATTCACAGTTACGTCGAACTAGTAAACAAATGTACTGACTTCGGTAAATGTGCCATTGATGCTTGTTTCGTTTTTAACTGGTTCAGCGCGCGCGTTTCTACATTACTGAGCTGCAGCTGTGCTGTCAACCGTCGGCGTTCGGCAACACGTATCATTCAATCGTAATAGGCTGGGTAATGAGTAGCCACTCTCGTTTACTTTGAACCGTTTCTACATAGAACATTTTTGACATGGTGCGTGTAAGGGTTCTGGGAAAGACGGCTGGTTTCTCGATCGGCCGGGCGACGGTCGTCTTGTCCGGCGGCGTGTAGGATGCTCCCTCCCCGGTCGTTTTGTGTAGTTTTATTTTTCTAACGGGAGACCGCGTGGGCCTTTCTGCCGACGCGGCCCCCCTGGAGAGCGTCTTCCTGTGTCTCCCCCTTCGGGATGACCCCTCGGGAAGAGATGTTGTTTTTTATTTTGAATCTGGAGGCTTGCGCATTCTACGGGGCTTCTTGGGTTTCAACCTGGGGGTTCCGGAGAGGCGCCGCTATGTCTGCAACGGGATGCACGGACGAAGTAACGGAGCTGTCGGCTGTAGTCCGTTGGCAAAATAACGAATGTGTATCGACGCCCTTGCCAACTATTGGACGGTGGATATCACGTGGCTCCAGCAAAGCTTTGAAATGATTGGTTGATCCTCGCCCGAGAGTGAGGGGGTCGGCGTCTTCAAAAGTCCGAGACGGGGGAGAGAGAAGCCCTTTCTGGCTTGGACTTGGACTAATTTGGAGGACGGCGAATATCTTTTGCTTTGTATATACTGTGTACAATAGCTTGTCACGTCTAAATAAACAGTTTAGACGAAGTCCTCCCGCATCTGTCGCACTCTTCTGATCACCCACCGAACAAGGCTCATCAAACGATTGGCCCCGCAAGACACCGCCGGGCAGTCATCATCTATTCGACCAAGGGACGAACCTTTACTGGCGCAGCTCGACAGCGATGAGCGAGCCTCGGTGACGATCAGAGGATCAAGAAGGCGACAGAGGTGGTCCAGCTGAAGCTTCCTGGCTGGCCAGGTGCTTGAACGGAGCGACCGACCGAATCCGCCGACAAGCAGCGCTGAGCGTCAGGGAGCGGTACTGCCGAAGCGGACTGGCCGGTGGAAAGCGGCGCATGCGGCACATCGACGGAGAGAAAACCACCTGGGTCATCGGACAGCAACGCTGAACGACCGGTGGCTGAAACCAGGGACCTCGAGGGTCAGGAGTTCCGACGCCGAGGCCAAGGACGACTACTGAAAACGCAATATCCGGGCTCTGGGCGTCAAACTGCAGCAACGTTTGCGCCGGGTGAGTGGGATTTCTTGCGTCGGGTCGAGGTTGGCATGGCTGGTAGTTGGCGGGACTTATGGTTTTGACGCGTCAGATGCTGGCCGACATGGAGAACGGGTTAAATCGAGAGAACTCGCAGGGGACAGGAGCCTCTGGTCAGGGGCAGGAGGCGCCACAGGGTGCGACAGAAAAGGAATCGGAGGCGGTCACAATTCGAAGGCTCGAACTAGAATTTGAGTTGCGGAAAGCGCAACTTCAGATTGAGTCCGAAGAGCGGATCGCGTTGCGCATGGCACAGCTAGGAAAGGAAAGTGGTCGACCTTCGTCCTCTGGGTCGAAAACAGACGACCAACGGCACGCAGGCTTAGACCCGGTTGCGCAATGCGCAAAAGTTTTGAAAGGGTACAGCCTGCCATGTGACGCGGACGTTCCTCTATGGTTTGATGAGGTGGAAAAATTGTTTACCACGTACCAGGTGCCGGATAGTGGTCGAGTACATTTGATTATGCCGGTGCTAACGGAGCGTGTCCGCTACCTGCTGCGCAGTCTAGGGCAAGACGATTGTTTAGATTACGAGTCGGTAAAACGGGCGGTGCTGAGCGAACTGAAACTCACGCCAGCTGAGTACCTAGACAGGTTCGACAGTGCAGCCAAAAGAAAAGATGAAACATGGGCTCAGTTCGCCTCCCGTGTCCGAACCTACTTCACGTATTACCTTCAGGTGAGAGGTGCGGACACGCAGGAGACAGTAACGGAGCTCATGGTTGCTGATCGGATTAAGGCGAGCCTGAGTACCGATGGTCTGGAGTATGTTCGCCTTCGCGAGGGAGAAACTTGGTTAAAACCGGTCGAGGTGGCGAGGGTGTTACAGACTTATGAGCAGGCAAAAGGGAAAGGGAGCGCCACAAAACAGGTGTACGTTCCAACAGAACAGTCAGGGACGGGGCGCTCGCCAGGGTTCAAAGGTTCCGTGAACTCGGGTCGAGCAGCTGTGTCATGTATGTCATGAGGAGGGACACATTGCCAAGCACTGCCCTCGCGCTTCGGGTAGTGAGGTGCCTCAGGGGCTGGCAAATGTTCCTGAACCGAAAGGGCAGACAGACAGAGTGTTAACCGCTCGGGTTGAGGTGAGGCGGTCGATTTCGGAGACGGGCCGCTCGAA